AAAAATCAAGCAGAACCTAGAGTCACAAAATTCTGCAGTCCTATGAAAAAAACCTCACTGTTTCTTTAGGAATTAGGAGGGTAAGTGGAAGCCAGGTAATCAAATCTACTTGGTTAACTGATCATCTGCAAAAGAGCAGAAGCTTTTGCAGCCTGCTGGTCTGACACATTTATGCATGTGTTAACATAATGCTACAATTTTTCCAGGTTAGGAAATCCCAACAAATGTACCCAAAGGTCAGATGGTGTAGTACTGAGAGACATTACACAAGCACTACATCTCACACTCTTCAGGCCTCAGTTAGCATGTTAAATGTTAAAAATCATGACAGTAAAATTAGAAAAATAGTAAAAAAAAGTATGAACTTCTCTCTCTAAAAAAAGAGTGAAAAGGTGATGATTTGCACTTGTTTTTCAGCCACAGGATCGGGGCACCTCGGAGTCTCTGAGTTGAAAACAAACTCCTCTGTGTACCAAAGTATTCTAGAGTCAGATATGAGGCCATCTGTCCGAAAGTTAAAGCTTAAACACATTGGAATGAAAGGAATTAGGGCCCAGTCAAAGTTCTGACCTGACTAAAATGCTGTGGTGATTGCAAACCTCAATGAACCGAAGCAATGTTAAGAAGAGTAGAGTAAAATTCCTCCATAACAATGTGAGAGACTGATAAAATGATGCAGAAAACTGTTACTTTGGGTTGTTCCACAAGCCCCTTCCATCATCAACTTTACTTTTTTCACAGATTTTCTTATTTTTAAAAAAGGACCTCCCTCTTTTTCCTTTTAGTGTTTTTCATCGTCATGAACCTGCAACATATGGAAGCCATCACGAGGAGGAGACGTGCTGCTGAGATCACAACACTGTATGTGTGTGGTGGAGATAATGACATTTACCACAAAATGTCAGTGGTGGTAGAAGCTCATAATTCACAATCATATTTCAGGCAGTTAGAGATCCACCCAGTCAGAGAAATTGTTGCTTTGCTGAGTAATGGTATGGTACTTTTTTCTTTAGGTAAATCTGCCTGGCGGGCAGTCTACACCTACTACTGTGCAAATGTTTGGAACCACCCCAAACTTCCTTAAATTTAGCTTCCAAAGAGCCAGACTTGTAATTTTTTTTTAAGTGGTGTTCAGCTTTGGTCTTTCAAAGCCTTTCTTTGGCTGTTTTTTGACTCGTTTTCAGTCCAATCCTTTTGTTTGTTAAATCTTATGAATTAATCGAGTATAAAAAAGGCTAACTCAAGGGATGAACCAGTGTTGTGTCTACACATCACTGACAACTTGGCAAAGAACCCATTTTAAATGGGATCTTTAGGAACTTTGTATTAAAAAATAAACACGTCTTTAATACAATCAATGAAAAATGACAAAAGATAGCACAATTTACTGACATCCATCCACTTCCGCTTATCCTTTTCAGGGTCGCGGGGGGCGCTGGAGCCTATCCCAGCTGTCATAGGGCGAGAGGTGGGGTACACCCTGGACAGGTCGCCAGTTTGACGCAGGGCTAACACACAGAGACAGACAACCAATCGCACTCACATTCACACCTAGTGGCAATAATAATTGCCACTTAATTTGGATTATCCAATTAACCTATCCCCACAAGCTGCATGTCTTTGGACGGTGGGAGGAAGCCAGAGTAACCCCACACAAACACGGGGAGAACATGCAAACTCCACACAGAAAGACCCCAGCCTGATGGTGGAATTGAACTCAGGACCTTCTTGCTGTGCGGCAACAGTGCTAACCACCATGCCACCATTTACTGACAGTGATTCCTAAACAGCTATTATCTGAAAACCATTAAGTTCATAAAACAGCATGGTGTGTGTGTTATGAAAGTGGACGATACAGGTACAACAGTGAGTCTGCAGCTATCTGTAAATCATGGTGGAACGCCTCATAGTTTGGGGATCATATCAAAATTGATAGAAGACCTAAAAGTCTTCAAATTTTGATCCAGCATAAAATACTGGAATTCATTTCATTTCAAAGTCACAATGATCCCAAACACACTGACAGCGCACTAAGATCTGGATTTAATTAAAAAAATAAAAATAAAAAAATAAATCTATATCTCTCTCTCTCTCTCTCTATATATATATATATCTATCTATCTATCTCTCTCTCTCTCTATATATATATCTATCTCCCTCTCTCTATATATATCTATCTATCTCTATATCTCTCTCTCTATATATATATATCTATCTATCTCTCTCTCTCTATATATATATCTATCTATCTCTCTATATATATCTATATCTCTCTCTCTCTCTCTCTCTCTATATATATCTATATATACATATATATATATCTATATATATATCTA